GAAGACTTCTGGGAGTTCTAGTCCAAGCACATCTGGGGACCCAAGGGTGGGAACCACTGATCTAGAAGAACATTTTTCAGTAAGAGCTAACAGGAGTCTTCTGAAAAGAGATGTTGCATATTTATTCATAAGTGTGTCATGGAATTAAAGAGATCTGTCCTTTTCTTTGAAATCATTTTTCCCCTCACATCCAATTTTATGCAGGAATCATTGACCAGCTGACTTTGCTGGTCAATGGTTCCTGCATATTTAGATCTCAGTCAACAAGTCTGGAAGCTACAGCTGAAAGAGACTGGAGATCGTACCTGTGAAGACTAAGCTGGCGTTTTCAAGTTCTTCTTGTGGAACCTTGAAGCTGAAGGACTCATTGTAGAATGGATCAATGGTGGCCTTCATACAAGAGGTCTTCTTGGTTTTTGCCAGTTTTAATCCATGAACAAGCTGGATTTTCACAAAGGGATCTAAAAGGAAGACAAGCACAGTTCCACTTTTGAAAGCAATTAAGCCATTAACTGGATGTTACAAATTTCAGCACAAAAGTCTTCACAGTTTGGAACTGGGTTACCTTCAGCTGGAAATGCGAACCTCTGACCCAAGGAGCCATCCATCCAGAACTGGATTCTGAAGAGTACGGGGTATATGACCCTGTTTCCCCCTATTTGGGCATCTGCTTCTGTCCTTCTGTTCCCAATAGGAGAGGGGAATCTCATCTCCAATCAGAATGATAAGGTTTGGGGCAAAGGTTACTCTGACTTTATATAGTCCACTAACCAGATCCTGGGGAGAAAATCCATCTCCCCAGAATCACCAACCCCTGCTTTGAGGACTCACATCTCCAAGCAAGAGAAAGCTCCAGAAAGCTATCGTGTATCCCACCACCAGCTGAGACACAGCTGGCAGGAAAACGGTGGTGAACGTTTCAAGAAAATTCTGCAAAGATGCTTTCATTCTGTGTGTCCGAGGGGAGGAAAGATGGTTAACAAAACAAAGCAAAATCTCAGAATGTTTTCTGAGAAATTTTGGCTCAGCTCTATTTGATGTTTAGAAGCTGCCATGTCCCAACTATTCTTGGAATCATCTGATGACTCATGCCCGCTCCTCCATCAGAAGAGGTCAAAATGTACCCTGTTTATTTTCCATTGGGAACAACTAAAGACTGGCCTTGATGAGGGAAAGTCAGGTACATTTGTCTCTTGGAGAGCCAGCAAATGCTAATTAGCAGAAGCAACCATTCAAGGAACAAGAGGAACTATGAGTGCAGTAAAAAGGGAATAGACTGAGGTCTGATTTTCAGTGTCATGGCAAAATGTGAACTACTCTGTCCTGATCATGAGAAGAAAGCAAAGGGAGAGAAAGTGAGAAAGACGCACCTTGGAGAGCTCCACGCGAGCAACCTGAAATCCAGGACTGAAGGCCCTTCTTGTTCACTCTTCTGAGGCCAGGATGCGGCCTGTTTTAAATTGGGAGTGTCTTTTGGGGAGAGAACCTCAAAATCCGAACTGAGATAGTGCCAGGGAAGAAATCAAGCCACTTGCACAATGAAAACATATCTTAAAGGATGCAGTAGATGATCTATGTGAAATAAAACATGTGCGCCCTTGTGATATCTGGGCTCCCACTAACTATCTAGCATCATTCTCAAAGTCCTGGTAACCAAACCAAAAGGCTGGCAGTGGCATTTACACTCCTTCTGGAAGCTTCCATGAGAGGAATAGAGCCCACTCCAGCAGTGAGGGGGCAGTGGAATGTCCCTAGCCAATGAATATGGTGACTCCTTGTTCTTCTCTGATCAGAGCAAAGACTTCTGGTCACAGAAGGAGTGGGTCGGTGTATGTAGAAATGCTCTGCAAGCGGGCGAAGGCCCTTCTCTTCAGGCAGGCTACCTGAGTGGGGTCTTTAAAGGGATGGTTGTGCCTCACTGTTTTGAACGTGTTTTGGTGTTGCTTATGTTTTATATACAATATTTGTTTGATCTTTTTTAGAA